GTAGTTAAACAAGAAAAAAATCAAAAATCGGAGATATAACCGATATTTTATACCGATATAATTCTTTCAAATTAAATACTGGGTACTATATACGCTCTGGATAAAAGGAACATTTTTTTGGTGAAACTGCGCTTAAACGTCATTTTGTGACCACACCCAGACATAAGGTTCTAGAATTAAATTTTTAAAACCATATTCGCCGATTAGTTTTTAAGACCAGTTACAAAAATGCAATAAAATAGAATATAAAATTATGTTAACAATATTAAAAAAACTATATATTCCAATTTGGGGTATAGTTTTAAGACCGTGAGAGCAAAACGCTAAACAATTATTATTAAACATGCCATGTTAAACAAAACATTATTATTATTTATATTTACAATTAAATACTCGTAAATATTCACACATGACCCTAAAAAATTGTAAGCTTATATTATTACCTTATTATTCTAAGCGAACCATCTTTAAAAGTGCCAGAACATGTAATAATCTGACCTTGGCCTTGTCGATCTAAATCAACAACACCTAAATCAAGAATTGGGGCAAGATTTGTTATATTCTCCACAGGAACAACATAAGTGCCACTTTCATTTGCATGGGATGCTAATTGTACTAATTGCGAGTCTCCATGTCTGGATCCAACAAATAAAAATCCATTGTCCAAATAAGTCAAACATTCCGGTATTGAAATTTCACCTACTTTGGGTAGTGATTAAATGTTTACGAACAATAACTAAAAACTTTCATATACCTAAAAGCTCCACTTTAATTTCCTTTACAACCGTTACTCCATTGCCATTATCACCTTGTTCCAAAAACAGCATAAATAATTGCCCATACATGTTTCCTAATAGAAAGCGGTGACCTCTATTATCTAAGCGAGCATAACAATTAATAACACTTTGCTGAAATAAAATACATTATAAATATCGCATCATCTTAATTTGATATTTAAATACCTTAAATGTTGAGGGAGCTATAGCGTGATAACTGCTACCATCATGATAAACTATAGATTCACGTCCAATTACAATGGCACCACCTATTCATGCGAGTAAATTATAACTTATAACATATAATATAATCAACAAAATTAAGTTCATTTGAGTTAAAATAACCAAACCTTTATTTTGGTCTAGCAGATTTTAAATTTTACTGTATATTACATTGTTTGTTTCAAACAAATATATTATATTTAAATCTGTAAGTCACTAAACAAACTTAAAAAATTGTTTTATTTTAACTCCATATATTATATATTTTTCATTAATAAATATGATATAAATAAATTATAAATTTTTACCAAGTGGAGTTGGAACTGGAATGATTAGTGTGGATTCCGTTTCAACATTATCCTGTTTCCAAGCAATTTTTGTAAATTCTTTTTCGCGAAGATTTATTTCATGTGTTTTAACATGTCTTCCATCGTTGTCTTTATGTATAACAATGATTGTGGGATTAACACAACCATATAAGAACTCCACATCATATACAGTTAACTCGTCCATTCTATTATAAAATTATAAATAAATACAATTATTAATAATATTTTCCCCATTATTTTTCTACACTTACCGTAAATTCGTTGCTTTTAACTCACTAGAACTGTGATCCAGTGGAACAATAGTAAATAATCCTTTGTATAAACACATACCAACTACCCGAGCCTTTGGATCAATAACTGCAATAACACCACCTTCAGCACTTATACCGACTGGATCAGAAACAGTTCCATCTGCTTTAGTATGAACTTTTATGACACCGTCTTCTTCAATGAATTCCAATATCATTACATTATACCGTTGAGTTAATATAAAAACTAAATCTTTTTTGCCTTCCTAAAGGAATTATAATTATAGTTATAGTTATTAAAATAACATAGTTTAAATTGAATAAATATTTTCAACTTACAGGGGGTCTAAAATGTCGCATAACAGCAATCTGTCCATTGATATTAACTTCCTTCAGTGGACGCAGCCCTTCCGGCGTAACTAAATCGATTTCTAATTGGCTATTTCTTGCAATGACCAAATTTAAGTCTGTCGGAGACGTGAAGTTTCCTGAAAAGCGCAAATAAAATTTAAATGTAGCAAATTTATACAAAAGAAGCACATTATGCATTGAATAATGGTTCTTGTGTTTAAGGTCACGTTTTCGAATTCATAAAATGTAGCATTTCATACCGGCTTTTGTAGGTATATTATATTCTATGTTTTTATTAGCACATTTTACACATTATAAGTTATTTATATAATAAGCACAATAATTTATTTAGTTAATCGTTTATTTCAGATATAATACAATGTGTTTAAATAAAAAAGTTTACTTACCGCATACACAAGCAATCACAGCCGTAGGATTCTGAGCCGTAACTACATAATGATGTGACATCTTTATGAACAAAAATGTTCAGCAATAGATTTTTATTGTAGAAAAATAGATTTACTTATTTATTAAATAATCAATTTACTGTCAACAGCAACAGATATTTTTAATTCGAGACCCGCTGCATGCAAAATATGCAATATACTATGAACTCTCACCGCCAACTGAACAAGCTGCCAACAATAAATATTACAAAAAGTGTTGCCATTGCATAAAATTTAAATATTTAAGTAAGTTTAAATAAAATACAAGTTATTCAGATTTTTGAGTTTTAAAACTCTATATCTACAAATTTTATATCTCACTAAACAATACAAGCAATTTAGTATATTACTTTAAAAAAGGTCCAAGATGTTACTGTTTTTTGTTGAATTTATATTGACACACATGATACATTAGCCGTAATTTTTTTTTTTTGACAGTTGTAAAAAAACATCATTAAGTCTGCTTGAAAAAAGTTGGCATCACGTTTAAGATATATTAAATGCTACTTTGTAATATATGTTTTCTATTGTGTTGTATACAATATAAATTATAAAACTTGTAAACACTGAAAATTAATTAATTTAAAGAAAATATTAATTGAATTAAACAAAATGAATTTTAAGCATGATATAGACGATACTACATATCTGCACACCAAGTATAAAGTTCAAGTATGCGTTTTTTTATATACTTTGAAACAAGGTATGCATATTTCATTTTAAATTATTTTCTACACCGTTCATAACAAAAGCGAAGCAAATACAGAGTGCGAAACAGTAATCGAAACTGAAGAAATTGAGATGATGATGATAGCAACATGTTGTTTATTTCATTATATTAAGATTTCATATTTCTTAGAATTAAACATAATTTTTTATTTTAATTCTTAAAACTAAAATTATTTCTAATTTAATTCTTTAAAATGTTCCATTTTAATATATTTATTCACAAAATAATTTTGTAAATATAAAAACTTATAAAATATTTTCAGCACAAAATAATTTTTAAAATATATGAACTATTTTAATAATTGTTTATAGCACTCTTATTCAAATTTGCTTATTTTAATAAAAATAAATGTCTACAACTTTTTCAATTATTTTTATATTTTTTTCCGCGATGTCTGCTCGTCCGACGCTCACCAAAATTCTTAAATTATGAGAAGTCTGCAGATTTCGACATACATAAACAGAGATGTGTGCGACTTTACAATATACAATGTTCAGCCGAAATATTGAATTTGCGATTGGGTAGCACGCATACTTGTCTTCAACACGTAAGCATGGTCTTATATCTTGCTTTACAGAGTAATGGCTAGCATTTATTTATTATTACTTAATTTATTTATTTATGTATTGTATCTATTAATTAAATCAAAATTTGTGGCAGCACCAAAAAATATAAATAAAAGAACTGTCAACAAGGCACAAAGGAGACAACAATAGCCGCAGTTCCCGCCAGTAGTAGTTTGGAAAAAGAAAAAGCAGCACGTGAATAAGACGTAAAAACATAAATCTTAACTTTAAGAATATTTTATAATAACTAAGTATAAGAAATAAATAAACTTATCCATTACCAATACGGAGTGTTAAATTAACTTATCCATTACCAATACGGAGTGTTAAATTCGAAATAAACCCCAACCTAACAAACCACTACATTGGTGACCAAGCCGACGTCGAATATATAAAAAAAAAATGGCTACTCAAGAGCAAAAGATAACCGAAGACACTAACCCAATCAATGAAAACGCAACAATCACTGCAATAAAGCTGCCGATGCCAACATTAATAAAAAACAACATTGACCTTTGGTTTATTCAGTTGGACTACTGGTTCCAAGTCAACAACATAAAGGGCGATACTCAAAAGTTTGGCACAGTTATCGCAGCATTGGATGGATCGCTGTTAGAACAAATTTATAACACAATACAGAATCCACCAGCAGCTCAGAAGTACGAAGCTATCAAGCAAGCAATAATAAAAAACTTTGCGGATAGTGAACAAAAACGCATACAAAAATTAGTTAGTGGTTTACAGCTTGGGGATAAAAAGCCATCCCATCTTTTAAGCGAATTGCAACGTATTAGTGGAAGCAAACAAGACGAACAATTACTGAAAGGGTTATGGTTACAACGTCTTCCTGTAGAAGTACAGACATGTCTAGCCACAATTCAAGTGGAACTACCTAAGATGGCGGAATTGGCAGACAACATAACCGAAACAATCCGTATAAACTCAACAATGCAAGGAACTTACGTCAATGCAGCTAACGTCCCTGCAGCAGCTCATATTCAACGTGATGCACAAATCGAACAACTTCAACGAGAAGTGACCAGACTGACGAAAATGGTCTCGAAATTATCAACCGAACACCGCTCAAGAACAAATCAACGTTCACGTTCAACATCCAGAAACCGGCAATGTCATGATGATAGTGAAGAAAAGACCAGTACAAATTGTTGGTATCATAGAACATATGGGTCAAATGCAAAAAATTGCAAGCAGCCATGCACATATGGCACAAAAAACTAAAACCGACTTCGTCTACGGCGGCAGAGGAAGTTGTAAACGAAACATCTACAAGACTGTTCGTCTATGACAATAAGACAAAAAAATCATTCCTAATAGACACGGGTGCAGATGTTTCACTTATTGCCGCCAAACAAAAAAATTCAAATACAAACAATAAGAACGAAAGAATACTCTACGCAGCAAATGGTTCTATGATCAAAACATTTGGAGAAATAGAGATAACTCTAGCTCTTGGCTTACGAAGAAATTTCACATGGCCATTTA